TTCAGATCTTCCACGTGTAAAATATGGGATTTCAACTACAAGGGCACTAATGTTCATTCTAAGTTATAAAGATCCGTAAACTATGATTCCAATCTTTATTACATTTTTTGTCACTGCATTAATAGAAATACCAGGATTTAGAAAAATTATACTTTAACAAGTATTTTATGATAGATAACAGTACCTTAAGCAAAGGTAAATCATAATTTTTAAATTTGTGATAAATAACTTTGTGTGTGTGAATAAAGAAGAGATGGGAAATACATTACTATTTCATGCTACTACTATTTCATATACATCTAATGACTCATCTGTGGAGATAAGTCAAGAAAACCATTACTTTTTTTTAATGTTTAAATTATATCTAAAAGTAATCAAGGTTTGAGACGAGTGAGGCTTCTGTCATTTCCAACAAAGGTGCTTTTATTGAACTTGGTTAAATCACATTTACTTAGTCACAAGTATGAGAAAATTAGCTAAATCTATTCTCCAACCCAGAACTTTTGAATTGTGTAGCTGCTGCCACCTAGTGGTGAGCAGAGGTGAATTCTCATTATATTCTGGAAATTGTAATAGACGTTGGGGAAATACATGTTTCTTGCCCTTGGAATATAGATGTATCTATAAATAGTTGAATGCAATGTAATAAGAACTAAAACCAAAGTATTAAAAATGTTATGGGAACATAGAGGAGGGACTTACTAGTTGTATTTAGGAAAGTTGAGGAAAGTTTCTCAGAGAAATTATTATTTAAAATATATCTGAAGGCATTTTACCAAGAAATGAGTGGGAAGAGTATTTCAGCATGTGCAAATATGTGCGGCATGAACAAAGACGGTGTGTTTGGAAAATTATGGCAATGTGATCAGTTAAGTTAGAAAGGACATTGTGGGTAAGAGTGAGGAAAAGGATGTGAGAGAAGTGATTCTCAGTGAGTCTGGAAGAAGTTGGGGCAAGATTATGAAGAATCATCTAGGTAATGAGATTAGACTTTATTGTACAGCCAGAGGAGGGTGTATGGCTCTTCTAAAAGCAGAACAAAATGTACATAATGATCTTAGTATGTGATCTAATTATTAGAAATACTTTTGGTCTTTCTTCATTACTTTTTTATCTTGTAAAATGGTGATCAGTGTTAGAGCCCTTCTTATTTTTTCCCTGTGAGTCAAGAGGTACTATTGGGTATTGAAATTAATTTTATGAGTTGAGAACAACATTAGAATAGAATAGAATAGAATAGAATAGAATAGAATAGAATAGAATAGAATAGAATAGAATAGAATAGAATGAAAACTATAAACTGCCATCTCATTTAGTAAGGGTAACATTTTAGGAAACCTTTGTTTCAATTATATATGAGTATACATGAGTGCATTGAGTTCTAATATAAAATGTGTTCTTATTGTGTGTCATAGTTAAAAAATAAAAAACTTTTAAAAGACTGTATTAATGTCTAAAAGTCTCTCCTAATTCAAAGTTTCTATACTTCTACTACCTTCTAATAATTCTTTGGAAATAAACATCATTAATTTAATTTACAGGCAACTTGAAAAGATTTTATTGGTAGTCTTTCAATGGAATATATAAAACATTTTAAAAGTTTGAGGTCTACCTATATTACTGACATAAAAAAGTGTCTATTGTTAAGAGCAAAATATGAACAGTATGTTCATTTGTGAAAATTCATTATACTCACAATACACACACTTATAAACGCATAATGCACAGAAAATACCAGGAAAAATATACAAAACACTGATTACGGTAGTTAATTCAATGGAGAATAACAGGAGAATGGATTTTGAGGAACAGGAAAGTGGACTTAAATTTTTTTAAAATAAATTTTATTTAGTTATAATTTACATACAATACACCATTTTAAGTATACAATTTCTTAATTTTTGACTAATATATACATTTTGTGTAACCAACACCACAATCAAGATATAGAACATTTCTATCACCTACCTGACCCCAAATAGCCTTGTACCTTTTCCTATTCGATCCCTACCTTTGGCACCAAGCAACCACTTATCTAATTTCTGTTTCTATAGTCTTCTCCAGGATTTCATATAAATAAAGTCATACAGTATGGACTCTTTTAGGCCTGGCTTCTTTTGTTCAGAATGTTTTTGGGATCTATCCATGTCATTGTGAGTTTTAGTGGTTCAAATCTTTTTATTGCTATCACTGAGTATTAGTAGTTTAATCCTCTTTATTGCTATCCTATATATTACAATTACTTATCAGTATGACTCTACCCTATTATGTGGATACACTACAATTCGTTTAGCCATTCATTTAGTGTTTTTAGTTTTTGGCTATTGTAAACAAAGCTTCTATGAACATTTGTATATATGTCTTCTGTGGACATATGTTTTAAAATCCTGTGAATAAATATCTCAGAGTGGAATGCTGGGTCATATGATAAATGTTTAACTTTTAAGAAAATACAAAACTTTGTTTTCCAAAATGGTTGTGCCATTTTAGCTCCACATTAGCAATGTATAAAGTTGCTCCATATCCTTGCCAGCACTTTGCTGTTTTCAAGTTTTCTTTTAAGCCATTCTATTAGACATGTTGTCTTGTGGTCTCTATTTAATTTATATATTTTCTGAATAGAAGTCATTTGTCAGATACATGTATTGTGAATATTTTCTCAGTCTGTGGCTTGCATTTTCATTTTCTTAATGGTAATGGCATCTTTTGAAGAGTAAAACTTTTTAATTTTGAATAAAGTCGAAGTTAACAAATATTTTATGGTTTGTGGTATATTTTATCTAAAAATATTTTCCTACTCTAAGTTTGCACAAATTTTATTTTTTTTCCTAGAAGTTTTATAGTTTCAGCTTATGATCTATTTGAGTTAATTTTTGTGTATGGTGTGAGATATGGGTTATTTTTTTTTCCAGTTGTTCCAGCACCATTTGTTGAAAAGTTTATCTTTCTCCATTGAATTGTCTTGGCATTTTTGTCAAAAATAATTTGACCATACAGATGTAAGCCTATTCTGGATTCTCTGTCCTGTTACAGTGATCTATGTGATTTATATGTCTACCCTTATGCCAATACATCACACTCTTGATTCATGTATCTTGATTCTTAATATGAAAGGGAAATTCTCCATCTTTGTTCTTAACTGTCAAAGTTGTTTTAGTTATTCTAGGACCTTTGTTTTTCCACATGCATTTATAAATCAGGTTGTCAATTTCTAAAAAAAAAAAAAAAGCCTGCTCGGATTTTGATTGGGACTGCATTGAATGTATGGGTCAATTCGGCAGAACTGACATTTTAACAGTATCTTTCAACACATGAACATGGTATATCTATTTGTTGAGGTCTACTTTAACTTCTCTCAGCAATATTAAATTTATCCCGAGGTGTCATGGTTTTTGATGCTATTGTAAATTTAAAAAAATTTTAATTTCTGATTTATTGCTAGTTATGGAACTGCAATTGATTTTAGTGTATTGACTAACTTGCAACTTTGTTAAACTCAGTTGTTCTTTTTCTTTTTTTTATGTCTCAGCATTCTCTTTGTTCGTAATGATGTCCTCCATGAGTCAAGGCAGTTTTATTTCTAATCCATAAACTTGTTCTTTTGCTTGCCCTATTGTATTGACAAGGATCTCTAGCATTATAATTAACAAAAATGTTGAGCGCATAACTCTTGCCTTGTTCTTCATTTTAGCAGAAAGGCATCCAACATTAACCATTAAGCATTATGTTAGCTGTAGGTTTTTAATAAATGCCCTTTATCAGACTGAGGAATTCCCCTTCTCTTCCTAGTTTGCTGAGTTTTTATTATGAGTATTGCATTTTTTCATATATGTTTTTGCTTCTTTGGAGGTGATTATGTGCTTTTTCTTTACATTGCTAATTTGGTGTTATATTTATTGATTTTTGAATGTTAAACTAACCTTAAATTCTTAGGAGTAAATCCCAATTAGTTATGACATAGTGTCCTTTTTACACATTAGTGTATTTGATTTGTTGAAATTTTGTGAAGATCTTTTGCTCAGGAGGAAAAATTGGTCTATAGTTTTCTTATAACATCTTTGCCTGGTTTTGGTATCAAGGTAATGATTGTCTCATAAAAATTGGTTGGAATTTTGATTTTTCCTCTTCTATTTTCTTAGAGTTTGTATAGAATTTATACTATTTCTTTCTAAAATGTTTGATCAACAGTGAAGCCATCTGGGTCTGGAGTTTTCTTTTGGGGAAGATTTTCAGTTACGAATTCAACTTTTTTAATAGATACAGGGCTATTCGGATTTTCTATGCCTTCTTGAATTATTTTAGGTAAGTTGTGCATATCAATGACCATTTCATTTATGTTATTGATTTGTTAGTATTAAGTTGTCCATATATAGAGATGTAGACTTTCATTTTTCATTTAATACTCTTCTATACTCTTTGAATTTTTTGCAGATTACATGTAGGGTCCTGAAATTGGGGAATAGGCCAAATTAATGTTAAATAATTAGTTTTAAGTAGAAAGTTTGTGTATTCAACAACAATCATTGTCTACTATGTGAAGGGCATTGTGCTGGGTGCTGAACAAGCAAAGTTCTTGTCTTTATGGATTTTATGGCATAGTAGGAGCTATTTAATGTATAATATCACATTAGGTATCATAAAAAGGTATACCAGAAGCAAGAGGAAGCATTAGAGAAAATTCATCTAATTCATCTAAAGGACCTAGGAAAGTCACAGAGAAGATATTATTTGAGCTAACATGTGAATGTATCAGTTTGCCAAATTGACAGGCTAGGGGAGAGCATTTAAGGTAGAAAGTATAATGCATGCAAAGGTATGAAGAACATGGAAAATTTAGGGAATCAGAAGTAGTTGAGGATTACTGAAATTTTAAGTGAAAGTTTGCTGGGGCTTTTCGTTGATATTCTTTGGTTTGTTTTAAATCTTGGATCTCTTTCTACGGCTTTAATATTGAAAATATATATATAATCTAGTGCAAAACATCTCAAGGTAATAAATATGGCATTAACCATTTATTATTGATAGACATTCACGTTGTTTCCATTTTTTTCACTATTATAAACAATGCTACAATAAACGTAGTACGTATTTTATGCATATAAGAATATCTCTAAAATATCTATTAGTGGATTTGCTAAAATGAAAGTTATATGCAATATTTTCGTCAATTGTGCTAAATGGCCCTAAAAAATACTGTACCGATTACCATTCGTGCAAACAGTGTATGAGAGTGGCCAATTTCTCACAACCTTGCCTTGGACAGATATGATAATTCTTTTTGAATTTTAAGGTATCACTGAGCTACCTAGATAAATTAGAGACAGGTTTTTCAATAGTCAATATAATGAAGTGGTGAAGATAGCTACCGTTGTAGTCAGACATACTTGTGTTTATATTTTGGTTTTGCCATTTGCTATCTGTGCTAATTAAATCGTTTTACATGAGAGTGTCGTGGCAAGTTTACATTTGGAATGTGCAGTAACATATTTATAGAGCGAGTTCAGTAAGATTTATAACAGAACTGGAAAAAATAGCAGCCATTAAATAGTTCATTACGCTTCCTGATTTTGTCAGTAATTGGGTGATCTCACTTAAGGGTTTAAGAAGGTCAAGTTTTCCAAAAGATAACCAGCATACACAACTGAAAGTGAGGAATATTATTTTAACAGGTGCTGTTGTGGAAAATATAAGAGAGAAAACGGTGCTATTAGGCAATTAATCAGGCTGGGAACTTTTAACCTTTAGACTCCGGAGGGTTAAAAATCCACCCTATGACTTGATCACATATTTCCAGCAGGCCCTCAGTTCCAGTTTACCGACGGATGGATACTCCTTTTCTGCCAGGAAATTACAGTTAAGAAGTTACTCTTGGAAGAAAAAAATTCGCCAGATTTCAAGATGGTCCTCATCCCCCCAGGGCATCGCTGGAACTTGCCGGGAGCAAAATGGCGGCTTTCCCTCATTACCTCTCGGGGATGGAGATTTCCACAACGTGAGTCAGGCACTGGGATGGCATCTTCGCCATTACCCAAGATGGTGAGCCGCGTAGCCTCACCGTTTCCAGGGTTCAGTATGGCTTCCCCAACCCGCGCCACCGGAGGTTAATCTCAGGAACCAAGATAAACTGGAGCGGGAGCAGCGAAAGCGGAAGTTGTCGTGCAACGCAACTCTCCGCTCCACGTCCCGCCCCCGGTTCTACGCCCCGCCCCCGGCGGCGCGGAGAGCAGAGCCAAGATGGCGGCCGAGCTGGAGTACGAGTCTGTTCTGTGTGTGAAACCCGACGTCAGCGTCTACCGGATTCCGCCCCGGGCTTCCAACCGCGGTTACAGGTACTAACCCCAAGGCACTGCAGCGTGTGCGTACCCGGTCGGGGATGACAGTTTCCTTCTCAGGTAGCAGCTGCTCGTTCCTGCCACCGCCACCTCTGGGTTGTCACCTTGCTAGCCTCCCCACCTGGGCTGTTATTGCCCTGTCCTCTTGCTCTTCCCCTACCCTGGACTGCCATCATCTTTGTTTCCTCCGCTTTAAAAAAAAAAATTACCATCCTGCATCTTGCCATCCCTCTCCCCCGCCCCGCCATCTCTCTCTAGGTTGCCCATCTCTGCTCTCCATCATCCACATCCATTCCGCCTGCTCCTTCGTTAGTCACCTTTTCTTCGCTCTTCCCTGCGTCCTTCAGTTTGCCACCCTCATCCCCACGTCCACATTTCCAGTACTCCGTGCATGTGTGAGGCCAATCGTTGTGTTGTTGGCCAGTCTCGGGATGATCTAATTTATCTTTGTGCTGTTGTCAGCCTTGCCACCGATTGTCATCCTCCATTGGGTTTTCCTTTCAGCTCTTTTGTCAGTGGGCAAAGGTTATGATTGCAGGTTTTCCAATGGTTGTTCATACTGTTTCTTTTTAATATATTTTCTTGATGATGATATACTATTGTCTATTTTCCTTCCCTCCCTCTTCTCTTAACTTCTCCTATAGCTTTTCCCTCCAGAGTTAATGCAGCATTTTCTCTGTAGGGCTAACTAACCCCCTTGTAATTCAGTGACCATGAGGGTCTGAGGATGCCGTAGGAAGTCATGAAGTCATGTAGTGGAAAGGGTTAACATGTAACTCACTGGGTTACATGTTAAAAAATATGAGTATTACCCTTGGCAACTTAACAGTTGTATGACTTTGGACAAATCTCTTAAGCTCTCCAAGGTTCAGTTTTCTTATCTGTAAAATAGAAAAAAAAAGTTAATGATAATAAAACCTGCTGTAGTTACGTACCTCACAGAAGTATTTGGAGGGTTAAATGAAATCGTATAATAAATGTGAAAGCATTTAGGAAACAGTAAAGCAGTATATAAATATATGATACTGTTCTTATTCCTCTCTCTGACTTATATCATCATCATGATTTTTTCTCTTGGCATTTATTATTACTTTGGCTGAAAGTTTATCCTCTCCTTATGTCCATTATCTTGCCTATTTACCAGAAGGTCATTCCTCATGAATCAGTATCTTTGTGGTTGGTGACCTGTGCACTAGACCCTGTGGGTTGTACCTTTTCGCAAAGAGGTAGTCCTCATTTCATGCTTTCTATCAGACCCAAAATTGAACATGAGTGAAAATCTACATGCTTTCGAATGGTAGTACTATTTGCGTGATTCATCTGAGACATTACTTTGTTTGGGAAGCCCTCCTGGACCTTCCCACTCTGGCTTAGGTATATTCTCTGTGCTTCTACAGCACCTATACCTGTCTCTGCTCCAGTGCCCATCGGTATTGTTATTGTTTTGTCTACTGTTTCTCCAGACTAGACTATGAGCAACTTGAGGTTTTTTTAACTTTATATTCCAGGATCTAGCACAATGTCTGACACATAGTGGACACTCTGTAAATATATTTCTGAAAGATGAAATTAGTAGATTACACTTCATCATGTAAATTAGCATCGATCTATTAAATAAGGAAAATAGCTCATGCCTTTCAACTTTAGGTGTTAAGACTTCCTAAAGGATATGATACGCATTGAAGTGGGGTTCTGTTCTTTTTCTTTTACTTAAAGACCTTCCTTCTCTCACTCATCTGATGAGTTTTCTATCTTCACTTACTTGTCAATTATCCTTGTCAATTAATTACACTGAGCCATCAAAGCAGTTTCTTAATTTTTTTTTATTCTTTTTCTCTTTTTCGTTCTGTGTTTTCTATTCTTATCATTGGTATTTTCTATCTTCCAAGAGGCATTTTATCATCAACCACTCTTTTAGTATAGTGAATGAATAGAGCAGAACTAAGTTTGAATAGTGATTCTCATTCGTTTTCTGGGTTACCTTTGGCACATCACTTAACCTTTTTGAGCTTTAGTTTCCTCATCTATAAAAATGGATATACTACTACTTACCTTATCAGATCCTCTCACTTAATTTTCACACAAATGGGCATAATACCTGGCACATAATAGATACTTGATAAATATTGCTTTTCTGGTTTTTTTTTTTTGTCTGCATAATCTTTTCTTTTTGTTTACCAGAAACCATTTTACATCATAAGCATGATTTCTCTAGGCTGCCATTAAGGGAAAAACTGGGCTTTTTAGGAAGCAGGAGAAATCCTTTTTTTAAATGACTAATAATATTAGAGGAATAAATGACTTTGATTCACCTAGTGTAAGCTGTTGCTTCCCAGACTTTTACGGACCATACCAGTGGAAGGAAAATTGATGAGAAACTTATAAATAATTAGAAAATGGTTTCCCAACCTATAAAACTTTTTTATTTATTACTACCCTTCTCTCCAGCTTAATTAATATTAAATTCCCTAGTGTGTTTTAATGTAATGAAAAGAATGCTAGACTTTGATGTTAGGCACTATTACTGTGTTATTGTCCTTCATTTGGGGGTGAGGTAGAGAGGATAAGCTTTTCCTTCTATTTTGTATGGCTGTTGTAAGGATTTATTGCTAAGGTAAATGAAAATTTGTGAGATCAGTTTAGAGTGTTGTCTGAAGACAAGCAAAACTAAGAGTTCTTCAGGCTGGGTCTTAGAAGTGGGAGAGGAACTAAGGCTGAGGGCTGAGGGCTGAGGGCTGAAGGCTGAGGGTTGAGGAAAACTGCTGCCATGAATTTGTAACAGAATTTGTGAAATATTGGCCCTTAGACACACAATAATTAAGACAAGGAACCTGTCTAAACAAACACATCTAGTAGGCTTGTTCCTAATATTTTCAATAGCTATTTTTACTATGTCTGGCTCTTTGTGGTATGGTAGCATCAGTAACAACTAATTAAAACTTTTTTTTTAATAGATAGGGAACCTCTAGAGTGCTCTATTCTGGATCAGATTCAGGTATTTAAAGTTTTTGAGAGCAAGGCATCAAGAGAGAAGGACATGACGATGTTTATCTTTAAAATCCTGTGCAAAATCTGTACTAATTTAAATTTTCGCTTTCCTCCTTTCCACCTTTTGCTTACCTGATTGTTAAACTCATTCTTGTTCAGATATACCCTGTTGTTACCTTTCTCACTTGGACGTATTAGTCTTCAGAGTCCTAAGGGATGAATTATTAATAACTTTGCCCTCCCTTTTTTATACTCCTGGCAAAAGAAAATCACAAATGCAATGTTTTTTAAAATTGGTCATATTTAAATAAAGTCTTAAATTTCATTCAAATTCATTTATAACACAGATTATAAATATTTAGTGTTGTCTAGCGTTTCCATGGACAGTTTGATCTTTACCCACATATCTTTCCTGAACTCTAGACTCATATATTCAACTGTCTATATCTTCTCTTGAAATCTACTAGATATTTCAGACTCAGCATAACCAAAACCAAACTCCTGATCTTTCTTCCCAGTCATGCCTTCCTCATCTCAGTTATTGGCAACTCCTTTGCTAAGGCTAAACACCTTGGAGTTATCTTTGACTTTTCTCTTTCACCTCACATCGAATCCATTAGAAAATCCTGCCGCCTTTACCTTAAATATATCCAGAATCTGGCTGCTTCAGCTATTCTCTCTTCCTAGTCACCATCATGACTTTTCTATTACTGTAATAGTCTTTTAACTAATCCCCCTGCTTCAGCACTCATATCCTTACATCTCTTCTACACAGAGAAGACCAAGTAATTCTTTTAAAATAAAATGGAGATCATGTCACCTCTGTTTAAAACCTGTAATGGCTCCTCTTCTCTTTCACTCAGATTAAAAACCAAAGTTCTTACAATGGCCTCGAAGGCCCTACGAAGGGTCCTACGTAACCTGGCCTTCTGTTAGCTCTTCCACTTCATCTCTTTATTCTAACTACAATGGCCTCCTTGCTTGAGGGCAAACATTCCAGGAATGCTCCGACCTTAGCATCTTTGCACTAGCTGTTTCCTATGCCTGGTATGCTTTTCCCCCAGTCTCTGCATGGGCAGCTCTCACTTTTCTTCACATTTTGCTCACATTTCACCTTGTTGATAAAGCCTACCCTGACCACCCTCTTGCATGCTGCAACCTGTTCACTCTCCCACTGCCCTCCCGTCTTCTTTTTCTGCTTCTGCATTTTCTTTTTACCTTAGCACTTATCACCTTCTGAGATACTAATTATTTTACTTATCTATTATGTTTCTTTTTTATTGCGTATTCTGTTAGAATGTAAGCCTCACAAGGGCAGGGATCTTTGTTTTGTTCACTGACGTTATCCCAAGCACCCAGAACAGTGCTGTGACTTACTGTGTACTCTGTAATTATTGGTTGAGTTCACTGAAAAGTAATACTATTGGACTCCAGAATCCTCAAATGGTAACATTGTCTTCTATTTGTTTTGGACTGTCTGCTACATGAGTTATCTATATAGAGGGGATTGTGAGTTATTATTTAATAGGTAGAAAGAATAAGTAATCCAGGACAAGGGAAATCGAAATATGGCAAATGATTTTTTTGTAGATTTTTCATAGATTAAAGACATGGATTCGAGGCCTGAGGCTTCCCATTTTCCTATCCTAGGGCATCTGACTGGAAATTAGACCAGCCAGATTGGACTGGGCGCCTCCGAATCACTTCAAAAGGGAAGATTGCCTATATCAAACTCGAAGATAAAGTTTCAGGTAATCTATGTTGGTGGCTCTCTAACATATTAAGGATATTGGTGTGGTGTGCTTTTGTAAGTACCTTTAAGTTGGGGATTGAAATGGAAATAGTTGTTAATTGGAGTTTTAGATTTTTTGCTTCCTTCACTCACAGAAGTCTTTCTCTTATCTGTCAGGTGAACTCTTTGCTCAGGCACCAGTAGAGCAGTATCCTGGTATTGCTGTGGAGACAGTGACAGATTCCAGTCGTTACTTTGTAATTCGGATCCAGGATGGTACTGGTAAGGGAGCTGGGATTTGGAATGGGATGAAATTAGGAAAATAGTTAATACACTTCGTTGTATCTTGACTGCATTTATCTTACTTTTTTACTAAATTTTTCCTCCCCTTTCTCCAAAGTTAACTATAGTTGCTAAAGAGAAGGATTTACATGTTATTTGTAATAGATAGGAACACAAGTTCAAGATGTAATTAATAGGTAGATGTAAATAAATCAAAATGTACTTTTAACAAAGGAGTTTACACATATTGCCCATTTGTTGTTTTGGTGCCTTTTGGTGGGACTATCTTAAATCATCTATATCTAGGCTAATCATTATCTCTTTTCCATAGTCTGTATCAGAGGTTGGCAAACTTTTTCCATAAAGAGACAGATAGTAAATATTTAAAATTTTCCTGGCCAGCTGGTCTCTATTGCAGCTATTCAGTTCTGCTATTGTAGTGTGTAAGCAGCCCTAGATAATATGTAAACAAATTGGCGTGGCTGTGTTCCAGTAAACGTCATTTTAAAAAAAGAAGCTATGGCAAGATTTGGACCATGGGCTATATGTAGTTTGCAGGCCCCTGGTCTGTGAGAAAATGATTCACATTCCCAGACTTCAGGTAAGGTAATTGTTAGATTTTCATTAAGTAGAACTTGCTCTAGGGACACTTCTATTCTGAATATTCCTGTCTTTTTCCTCAGGACGTAGTGCTTTCATTGGCATTGGCTTCACAGATAGGGGTGATGCCTTCGACTTTAATGTCTCCTTGCAAGATCACTTCAAGTGAGTGAAGCTTGTCCTAGTTACCAGATTAAATGGTTTGGGGAAAGCTGCTTCTTAGCTGAATGGGCACTATCTCTTTTACCTCCTGGTTTCTTTATTTGGTAAACTAGTTTTTCATTATCTTTGTATCTATTTTATTTTTTTCTTTTAGCCCAGAATGTGTTTTTGATCCCTTGTACAAGGGTTTGAGATGATACTTTTGTTTATGCCTCTAGAGAATATGCCCTTTCTTTTAGGCGGCTGAGAGAGGCATACAGTAACAGCAGGGCTGTATGTGAGATATGTGGGGAGTTACATACCAATTTTGTTACTTCATGTTACTGACATGCTTTGTGCCTGTCGCAGCATTTCTTCAGCTCACTTGACTTTGGCGTAGCCTGTGGTGGACAGCACCATGCACGCTGTCAGCTTCCTACCTCAAGGGCACACATACCTCTGCTTTTCTGCCTCAGCACTCTCTGAAATTGAGGAAGGCCACTCAGCACAGGGGTGCAACCTGGAAGGAATGAGGAATTAACACCTCCTCGGGAGTGGCCCTCAAACAGGGGGAAGCGAATTGGTGGCTAAATGCCCTCCTTTGAAGGGCCAAGTTTAATGCACATTCTTTTTAAGGCCAATTACCCTGTTTCTTGTCTTTTACCCCTCCCCCACCCCCTTCTCAACTCTTCATGTTTCTTCACTCTGCTTTCTGGAATCCTATTTTACATAGATTAGTTACACTCAAATTCGTGTGTCAAACTCTGCTTTCAGGGAATCCCAAATTAAGATAACTTAACTCTTTTACTGAAGGTGGGTAAAGCAAGAATCTGAGATTTCCAAAGAATCTCAGGAAATGGACACTCGTCCCAAGTTGGATCTGGGCTTCAAGGAAGGACAGACCATCAAGTTGAGTATTGGGGTAAGTATGGTTTTTTCCTCCCTTTGCTATATTTCCATAAAGCCTGTGACTTCTCTTTTTTTCTCTCACACTCATTCTTTTTTTTTTTTCTTTTACAGAACATCACAACCAAGAAAGGAGGTGCTTCTAAGCCCAAGACTGGAGGGACTGGGGGCCTAAGCTTACTCCCACCCCCACCTGGAGGCAAAATCACTATTCCCCCTCCATCCTCCTCGGTTGCCATCAGCAATCACGTTACTCCACCACCCATTCCAAAATCTAATCATGGAGGTAGTGATGCAGGTAAATCTCTCTAGTACTTTTAACTTTCAGAAACCATATCTTCAGTTATATTTCGATAACACCTATTTGCTAAAAAAAAGTGTTGATTTTTTTTTTTTTTTTTAAATTAAATAGCACTCGATATTGACAAGGCGATTCTGGCAGCCTCTAGCAAGGGATCAAAGTTTTTCTAGTGGACTGAGAGTCATGGTGTCTGGTAGATTCTTTGGCAGAAAATGGATGGGTATTAGACAGACTATTTCCTTCATTGTACGTTGGTTAGATGCCAGTAGGCCTGAGAGTCAGATGGACCAAGATTTCAGTCATAGCTCTGCTACTTAATACCTGAATATATTTGGTAATATTACTTAAGGTCTTTGAGTTTCAGTATCCTTATCTGCAAAATAGGCAAAACTACCCCAGGATTGTGAAGGTTAAATGATGTGAGGGCACCTAGCACAGTACTTGGAACATAGTGGCCATTCAGTAAATGCTATTTCTTAATTTTTTTTCATTTCTTTATGAAGGCATTTGGCGAAAAATGAGACATCTGGTTTGTGAATGCATTTTTATTCTTCCTTACTATCTGGTGGGAAAAAGAATAGATATATTTACATTTAAAGAATGAGAATATTAGAACTCAGAAAGGAATTTTCCTAGGAGTTATAAGTGTCACCAGAAGGTACTAGAGATTATATCTAAGATTTACTTTTTATTTTTTTAATTAAACTTTTTATTTTGAGGTAATTGTAGATTCACATACAGCTCTAAAAATAATGCACAGAAATCTCTTGTACCCTTTACCCAGTTTTCCTCAGTGATAACATATTGCAAAAGTATAGTCTAATATCTCAACCAGGAAATTGACATGGATAATATCACTTCTCTTACTTAGATTTCACTAGTTTTACGTGTTCTTATTCGTGTGTATATGTATATTTAGTTCCTGCAGTTTTATTATGTGAAGGTTCCTGGATCCACCACCATGGTCCACATACAGAACAATGTTATCACTATAGAACTCCCTTGTGTCACCCCTTTATAACCACACCTTCCTCCTTCGTGGCCTCTTGCTGACCCACCCACCCTCCCAGTTCCCCCAATTCCTAACCTTTGGCAATCAGTAATCTCTTCTCCATCTCTATAATTTTGTCACTGCAGGAATGTTATATGAGTGGAATCATATAGTATATAACCTTTTGGGATTGGCTTTTTTCACTCAGCATAATTCCCTTGAGATTTATCCAAATTGCTGTGTATATCAATAGTTTCTGTTTATTGCTGAATAGTATTATATGCTCTGGATGTACCACAGCATGTTTAACCATCACCCATGTAAAGACATCTGGGTTTCCAGTTTTTGGTTATTACAAATAAAGCTACTGTGTATAGATTTTTGTGTGAATATAATGTTTTTATTTCTAAGATTTTTGTTTTTCTTCTCTTCTTTTTTCTTCTTACATATTGTATTCAGATATCCTTTTAGATTTGGATTCTCCTGCTCCTGTCACCACACCAGCATCAGCTCCAGTTTCTGCAAGCAATGACTTGTGGGGAGATTTTAGCACTGCATCCAGGTATGAGCATAATGAAATAATATATTCTCAATCAGGGTATAGATGATATGTACAGTCAGATGAAATCTTTAATCTGGGAAAGCAGGGTGTTTGTAGGTCATATAGAGTCTTTGGCAGGGATTTGGGGTATGGAATTATAGGAGTGCTGGGGTTGGTGAGATAAGAAAACTATAGGGTAAAGTTTGAGTGGGATATTTCAGGCCTCAGTAAGTAGAATTGCTGTGAAGTTTCAGAAATTCTGGGCAGCGATTTCTTTGAAATTATTAAGTAAAGAATGGAGTAGCTCTCCTAATATTGTGCCTTTAACTTTCTCTCTGTTATGTCTTGCAGCTCTGTTCCAAATCAGGCACCACAGCCATCTAACTGGGTCCAGTTCTGAATAGCATTGGCAGGACATTAAGGACAGACTTGAAGAATGAAAATGACCTTGAGGGCACCAATCTGTGAGGGAAGTTAGGAATCCCTTCTCTCCCCAGAACCAAAACCACTGGACAATCTTTTTCATAGTTTCTTCATTGCATTCAAGCGGATTTATGTCACTCCCCTATGTTGTTACTTGCTGTACAGCCAAAAAAAAAAAAAATATCTCTTATTTCCCCTTCACTGTCAAGGCAGGGGAATAGTGGGTCTTTATCATACTTGTGGCTGACTGTGCAGGGCTTAAAAGGCCAGGGTCTCTGTGTGGGGAAAATGACCTCTAACATCTGTGGAATTTTTTTTCCATCTTTTAAATTCTTTAACATATTTCAGAATCATCTCACGACCCTTGTGTGCCTCTTTGGGAAGCTCTTTTTAGCAATTTCAGGGGAGACAAAAACTTTGAAACTTTCTTTTTCGCTAACCCAAGACTCTGAAAATGGACAGACTGACCTCAGTGTTTACAAATTCAGAATTTTGATAGGGATAAGAATAAAGAAAGACCTGTTTCTTGGGTCTCTGCTCTATCTCCTTTTTAGGGCTTATCCTATTGAGTGAATATTCAGTGCTGGGTGCAGCTCCATTACCCTCTCATGTGTTTACATGTCTCTTCCTATGATAAGAGGGTTGTGTTGGTGGCACCTCCACTATTCTCGTTTGTTGAATAGTGCAACGTCTTTGATCAGTGGGTGTCTCTTGGATGAAGGAGGTTCAAGGAGCTGTGTTTTCCAAGTTATATTCTAGACAAGTGTTTACAGTAAGTCCTCACTTAATGTCGATAGGTTTTGCAACTTTAAGCTACACGACTTATGACAAAACCAGTTTTATCATAGGCTGATTGATACAAATAAGAGTTAAGTTCCTCAACAGTATAACAAAATGGCATTATTGGAGGACCTGCTGTACTTTTTTGCAGCTCCTTCTAATTGCTGCATTTGAAGCAGAGCGTTACTTTGGATTTGTCCCATTATTTGACCTAAAGTTGAGGGTTTAGAGTTTTTAACCTGCTTTGTAGGCAGAGAGGTTGAAAGCACTTAACTCTTATTCCATACCCACATTGCCTTGCTGCCTGGGTATCTGGCCCCTTTCCATAAACATTTATTTTTCAGTCCATCTAATTCTTCAATAGAAAAGCTGCTATTACATGTATCCTCATTTAGAAGGGAGCTAGAGAGTCACAGTTTGAGCTGTGATAGGTTTTGCCCAGGTGACAGCTTTGATACCCTTCACCCCGGGTATCAAAAGCTAGTTGCTCTCCCACCACTTTCCTTTCCCTCTGCCCCACCATTCCTTTTACAATGCTGTGAAGAGAGTTCCCTTTCTTAGATGATCGGGCACTATCTATATTGTTTGTTATTGAGTAATCTGGAGGATGAAATGGGAGGATATCATTTCTTCCCCTAGCACCTGTTTGGATGTGTTCAGTCTGGCTAAAGGGAGTCTTAATATTCAGTTTCAAAATACACTCTCTCTCCTGGATTTCCTTCTTGACTCTTTTTAACTTTGGGTCCATTTTTTTTCATTGCCTCCCCTTCCAGGCAGCTCTATTCTTACAGAGCCATGGCAGGGCATTTTAAAATTTCAATAGAAAACACTAAAAGGAGAATCTCCAGAACACTAGTGACTAAACTATTGGGAACCTATTTTCTCAACCTTCCTTCATGTTGTGTTCTTTGTATTCTTCAGATGATAATATATTATGTATTTGAATTGCCGAAAAATTGATAATGAAGTTTAAGATATATGTATATAAAGCGTATACTGTATTGGTGCAATAATGGTAATTAAAAATATGGAAAAAGTAGTATCTCTTTTACTTTTTAATTTGCCAATTTCATTACCTTTTTCATTTAATTGATCCAATATAAATGGGCCAGTAGGTAATAAAAGGACATTTTACAGCTATTCTTCTTCTTCAAGAAATAGGGGCTTTTAAGAAGTTGAGGCTACACCTCTACTCATGGTTCTAAACCCACAGAGCACTCCTTATAGAAATTATTTATGTTTATTATTTATTTGCTGGTGTGGTAATTTCATTTGCTTCAAATTATCCTCATGATCTAGGCCAGCAGTCCCCAACCTTTTTGACACCAGGGACCCATGCTTCTACGAGAATCTGATGCCTGATGATCTGAGGAAGATCTGAAGTGATGATGCTAGCGCTGGGGAGCGGCTGCAAATGCAGATGAAGCTTCACTTGCTCGCCCACCGCTCACCTCCTGCTGTGCGGCCCGATTCCTAACAGGCCATGGGCTGGTACTGGTCCATGGCCCAGGGGTTGGGGACCTTTGATCTAGGCCACCTTTCACATCCTAGAACTATAATCAACATAAATGAAGGGAATCAGTGTAAGAAATAGAACTAAAGTCAGAGTCATAGACTGAAAGTCAGAAGGAACTTAGAGTTCACATTGAATGCTTGTTACAGGAAAAGAAGCAGATTGATATGGGTACTTTTATTTTTGTAAAGTAATACTGCTCTCTCCAGATATTCTGATATACCTCCCTGCTTGCCCTCCCCTGGTAGGGTTAGCTGGCTCCCCAGCCATGGACTTTCTTACATTACTGAAGTTGAGAGGCACTGTCATTGATAGAAGTGTATCCTAATCTTCAGGGTTTTGGGGGGGAGAAAATGTAGACAATTGTTTTTCTAGCTCAACCCCTTCAATTATACACTGGCATCTGTCTTCACGGTTGAAAAGTGAACCTTTATTCACTTCATTCTGATAACCTAGGTAGTCAGCTTACCTGTAGCTTTCTTAGCTCCAATTCAGTTTACATATCGCCACTAGAATAAGCTAAAACCAAGCCCTGTTCATGCCCTTTTTTCTTCTATTCATTGCTTTTAATGATTTTCCTTCGCTTAACAAAATAAAGTCCAAAGTACCATTTCATCCTCAACTCTCAGCTTTCCCTTTCATTCACAATATGCTCCAGCAAATCAGGGCACTAGTCATTCTTCAAATGCCATCAGCACTGTGAGCACCGAATACTTACTGAAATTCCCTTTGCCTAGAATACCTTCCCCTCTATGCTTGCCTGTTAAAATCCTTCCCATTTTGTAAAATAACTCAAATACTACTTTATGAATTGTTACTTATCCTCCCACTCTGTGAGATGATTTCTCTTTTGTTGTTGTTTTGGATCTGTATTGGATTTCTTATTAGTTTCTAAGCTTTTTTACTATAAGGACCATATCTTCTTTTTTATCTACTCACTGCACTTCCCATATACCTTTCTAGAGAGTAGATGCTTGTTAACTACTTGAATTAACAGTGATTTCAATGAAGAGGAACTAGAAGTCAGTAAATTGGATATTTTCTTTCTTTTATTCATTCTCATTTAGGTTCTAGCTACATGACACAAGTGTTTCCCATATGCTTTGTTATAGTTGTAGAAAATCTCATTTATGTGCTCCAGAGTCAATCAGTATTAGAGATCAAGAAAGCAGTGGTGAAGACAGATTTTACTTTGGTATATAGATCCTATGACCCAGGAAAAGGATAATTGGATATTGTGTAGCACAGCTGCTGATAAATGTGGTGAGGCTAAAGATGACATTGTGCTTTGGTGGTATTTTAGTCATTTTCTAGCTTTTTAGAAAAATTTCTGTTATTACCTCTTTAATTATACATGAAGAAAATAATACACCATTTATGACTATAAAACTCAAACTCAAACACTCCCCATCAACCACATTCTCTTGAGAAAGGAAAGCAGAGTTATCTTTATTTGCAGGTCTCTTAAGCTTGGGGTTTTCACAGAGATTTTATGATTTGGCATTTATTGCCAAAATTTGCAAGAATTATTATTTTTGGACCCCTTTTGAAAGCCATCAAGATATAGGGATGGTGTAAAAAGCTTTGTCATACTTGAATTGAGTGAAGAGTAAAATATTTGTCCGTTGCAACCTCATGTTCCACCCCTACCTAAGGATAGTGTTCGCCCCTCAAACACAGTAATGCATTAAGACCCATTATGGATTTTTAAAAATTTGCTTTTTAATATTTTTATCATGTGCTCTTGCCACTGAACCTGTAATAAGAAAGAAATGTCATTGGAGTGCTTTCTGTGAATGTTGTATCTAGCTGCATATCAGCATGGGGCCACTAGAGGGCGTGCTCCCTATAACAACTAGCATAACTGTAGGAAATGCTCAGATTTTCAGGGGATGGGAAGCATTTAAAAATAAAGATATAAATGAAGACTGTCAAGATATAAATGAAGACATTTCATCTCTGAAATCTAAATGTGCACCTGATCCAAAGTTTGTTGGGAATGTGGAAAAATAGCTGTTTAGATAGGCAGAAAATGAAATGCAGAATAATAGATAGTTAATCATGCTGGCTACCCTCAGTTTCAGTCCCTGTCAGTGTTAGCAATAGTTTTGGTAGCATTTGCTCAGATTCCCCTGGGGCTCCGTGGTATTCGGTCTTGGAGAGTATAGGGGGAGGAGCCCTCTGAGTTGAGGGTTGGGGGCTGTGGCTCAGCCTCGGTTTTGCAACTGTGGCCGGTAAAAATCAACTTGTTTTTCTGCCGTCCCGCTTCTCTGCCTTCAGCCCTGATGACTAGGCCCTACCACCAGCTGTGTGGAAGTCACAACTCTCCCTCCCCCTCCCCCTACAGGTAGCTCCAGCTGCTGCCAGAGGCAGCTTCTTTATTTGTCCCAGTCCACTGCTCAACACTCAAGGTTCTGACCTGTGGTAGTTCTTATGCGCAGATCCCACACTCAGACATGCTGGTGTGCAGTTTGGGTGTTTTTTGTTGAGTTTTAGATGTTCAGCTTATTGTTGTTTCAAGGGGAGAGGTCTGGGGATATCTCTCACTCTGCCATGTTTCCGAAAAATGAAGTGCAGATTAATACTTTCTTCAGAATTGAATACTTAAATATTTGAATGGAGAATAAATGTATTAATTTTAATGACTTCCCCCAGGCCCACCAAAATAGATGATTATTGGACAGTAAAGAATAGTGGTTATGAGTATGGGTTTGGGAGGAGACAGATTGCGTTGGTAAAAAATTTTACTCTGCTACTTATCAGCTTTTCGATGGATAAGTTATTTAACCTTTGTTTACCTTAGTTTCCTCATATGCAAAATGAGGATAATAGTTCCTATTTTGTAGGGTCATTGTGACAATAAAATAAGTTAAAAATTCTAAGTGCTTCGAACAGGGCTTGGCACATAATAAACTATATTACTGCTACTACTGTTGTTCCTCAGCTCAGCATTCTAATTCTGGCTATCAGAGTGTGCAATAAAATGGTAAGTATAAGAGAAAATTATGAGAGTTCTTTTCCTTTTTTTAAAAAAAAATTAATTTTTGCTGTATCCAGCAAGTGGTAAATCCTGCCATGTCCAGCATGGCCCTAGAAAATAATTCTGAATGGGAACGGTGGGAGATTGAGAAAAGAAAGAAGGCAGAAAACTGAGATCCGGAGACCCAATATCCACTGATGATGGAATAGAGAGCGATTTTATTTTTGCAAGTTGCTTTTATATAAGAGCATACATTTGCTGACTAAAATGAGATTATCCCCACCCAACCTCCACATCCTACTATAATTATTTGCATTTCCGTAGGGTAACCCGCACCCTACACAGTCTGCTAAAATCATTTGCATTTCAACATCTATGTTGTTCTCCTATCAGTTCCTACTTCCCATTCTTAGGAGGGTTTGTCAGGTGAGGCAACCCTCGGTTGGCTTCACAGATTGCAAGGACCTTGTCAGTTTACAACTCTGCTCTCCACAAATTTTTGAGATAAAGCTGACATAACGTTGTATACATTTAGATGTACATGTTGATTTGATGCATTTATATGTTGCAATATGATTGCCACGGTAGTCTAAGATAACACTTCTATCATATCATATAATTATCTTTCGTTGTGGTGGGATCAATTAAGATCTAGTCTCATAGTAACTTTGAAGTCTGTATTACGGTATTGTTGTCTGTAATGATTATGCTGTATGTCACATCTCCAGGATTTATGTACTGGATGCAAGTTTGTGCCCTTAAACCATATATCCCAATTCCCCCACCCCCACCCCTAGCCATTGGTACCACCAATCTACTCTGTTCCTATGAGTTTGACTTTTAGATTTCACATATAAAGGAGATTATATAGTATTTGTCTTTTGGTGTTTTGACTTATCTCACTTAACATAATGCCCTCAAGTTCTATCCACGTTGTTGCAAATGGCAGGATTTCCTTCTTTCATGTGGCTAAATAATAATCTTGTATATGAATATTATATCTTCTTTATCCATTCATTGTAATGGACACTTAGGTTATTTCCATATCTTGGTTATTGTGAATTATACTTCAGTAAATATGAGAGTGTATATATATATCTGTTTGATATCCTGTTTTCATTTCCTTTGGGTATGTACCCAGAAATGGAATTTCAGATTCTATTATAGTTCTAGTTTTAATTTTTTGAGGAACCTCCATGCTGTTTTTCATAGTAGCTGCCAATTTTCATTGCCACCAACAGTGTACAAATGTTCCCTTTTTTCCACATCCGTGCCAACACTTAATCTCATGTCTTCTTAATGATCACCATTCTGACTGTTGTGAGGTAGTATCTCATTGTGGTTTTGATTGGCATTTCCCTTATGATTAGTGATGTTGAGCGTCTTTTCATGAGTCTGTTGTCCTCATCTGTACTCTTTTTTTCAATTGGATTCTTTTCTTGATGTCAAGCTGTATGTGTTTTATATATTTTTTGGATATTAACCCCTTATCAGATATATCATTTGCAAATACTTTCTCCCATTAAGTAGGTTGCCTTTTCATTTT